GGCAGGCAATGAGGGGAAAGGCTTGCCCCCACGGGCCCCACATGGGACTCACTTGGCAAACTACAGTGAGAAAACCCGTTAGACAACTGGAAACAAAACAAACAAAAAAAGGGGGGGGGAAGGAAAATAAAATTAATATAACAGGATGAGTGTGGAGGTACAAGATGGCATTGACATTCAAGGGAGGAGGGAGACCTGAGTATTTATAAATAAAACAAGCGGCGGGCCCCGCTGCTCCTGGATGATCCGTGGTGCCAGAGGAAGGGCCACGGGGGCAAAGAACACATACTGGACGGCAAGAAGCGTTCAGTCAAGCAAATAATTTATCTACATTTTAGAGTAGTGTGGAAATTGATCGGTGTCCTTAATTTTTTGGCGTTCTCAATGGTTTTGGATGATTTATAACCGATGGAGCTTAATTTCACGGTGATAATGATTTGTTCGTCTCATTATGCGAATTTAAAACATTCTCAAGCAACAACTGAAAACTGTTCATTCCGGGTTTCTGAAATCATCACACTGTTCAGGAGCAGAATCCAAATCGGGGTGACGGGGGAGGAGGGGTTGGCGAACTAAAAGGAAGAAAAGCGCACAGCCTCTGATGCAGTGAGATGTCCTCCTCCGATGGTACCGCAACAAGGAGGCCACGGTGGGTGGGGTACTTGGGAGGGGGAGGGGGGACAGATGAGCGCACGACACTTCTGAGAAGGAGCCTTCCACCTCCGAGCTCCCCATACCCCTTCCTCTCCCTCAGGACACTGCAAGGTCATTGCCCAGGAGCCAGGCACCCTTTCAAGAAAAAGCCCTCAGCCTTGTCCCTCTCTCTGTCCCCAAAAGGGACTGCTCCTGGGATGCATTTTGTAGATTTTGAGTTTCAAGGTCCTGGTGGTGACAGTGACGGTAGGTGGGGGGCAGGGGAGGAGGGGTTGGCCACGGTGGCCGGGGCCCAGCCGGTCACCTTCTCTGTGGACGCCCAGGCGCCCATGGTGGAGCCTGAGCTGACTGAGGTGGGCGAGCTGCACTCGCTCACGGACTGGCAGGTTTCGGAGGCTTCAGAGGAGGCCGAGCTGGACGAGTTCTGCAGCAGGGAGGGACCACATGCCACCAAAAGTAACAGGAAATCAAAACAAGAAGATGGGGTGGGGAAGTGCACGCACAGAGAGAGAGAGACAGACATATACACAGAAGAGGGAAGGATGAGAGAAGCAGAGGGTTAGGGTTATTTTTTTCCCTTTGCCAAAGCTGCACCCACACAGAGGCTTTCAAGCCCTCGAAAAGCAGCATGAGACACCTGCCAGATGGTCAGCCCCCCAGGACCCTGATGTGTGTGTGTCTAGTGTGTGCCTGGCACTGGTCGGTGAGACTCCCCGTGTTCCTTTGGGCATTTCTTCTCATGCCACACGTCGAGGTCCCAGGGGAGGCCTGCCTTTGCTATCTCTCAGGTGCACAGGCATACTTAGTGCCTGAGGACTGACCCCCTCCACCACCACCACCCAGCTTGGGCTTCTGCTCCATACCTCTCCAGTCCCCAGCCTCTCCCTGTGTCACATGCAGCCTCTGCACCCATGCAGGGTGGTTTCCAGCCATGAAGCTGCATCTTCACAGGGCAGGTTTTTAGGTTTCTCTGCCTGGGAAATGATTTTGAGGTTTGGCCAGTGAGGCCTTGAGATCAGTGCAATGTTTCCAGGGGCCATCTAGGGAGGGACGGAGCATCTGGAGAGATCTGGGGCATTACAGAAAGGAGGTCTGACTTGGGACAACATGTCCTTGTGCCGATCTTTATTTCACCTCCAGTCTTGCCGGTCGCCTGGTGTCAGCCGGGGTACGTGCCCCCAGCTCAGTCTCCTGACATTTGGCTCGGGCAGGGACCATGCCCGTGGGCTCACCGTTATGTCTCAACTTTCTAGTCCTGTACTGGCACGTGACAGGGGCTCAAAACTACTGAATGGATGAGTGATGAAGACCATCTCTTCCAATATAAACTTCCAATATAAGCACCAAGATCGTGCTCGGGCACACCCAGATATTTAAGTTCTGTTCGCTGCTAACTGCAATCTCCGGCTCATCCTTTTGTTTAAATAAGCCCAACCCTACCGGGGTCTACTCTTACTTCCTCAAAGTGTTCCTGAATTCACTGCCAAGGAGGCCAGATTCACGTTTCTGTCATGTTCATGTCCACCTCCTTCACAGCCAAAGAAAGAAAGGTTCCGGCAAAGGGACAGAGCTATAGCTCTCCATCCTGCAAGCAGCAAGGCTCTGAGAAGACACTCCAATGCATGGGGCCCCACAGAACCAAAGCAAGGACACGCTACCCACTGGACGCCCTGATGGCTCCTCAAGCTCAGAGTCTGGTTGGTGGTTCCAGAGCCAAAGTTTGAGGGTTTGTATTTAAGTTACGATTCTGTTACTTCTCAGTAGAGGAGCCGCAACCTTAATCTAAAACTCCAATTTCTTTCATTTTTGGCATAGGGCTCACTAATATCTAACAGAGGAAGAGAAAATGAAATTTTCTATGTGTCCATCTATGTATGTAGCACTTAATCAAGTGTACAGAGAGGCCAGTTATCACTATAATTTACTAGGGCTGTTCATTTTGGTCCCTCTAATTCAAGTATGTTCAACTTGAAAAAAAGAACCAATAAACCATTCCAGGACTGCAGGTTCCTATTTCTTTTGGCTTCTGTTCATTTTTCCTAAAGAACCTCTTGCCTCCATGGAATGAACAGCTCTAGGACGAGACCCTCACAACAGACATAGTCCCACTCCTGGGCACAAGTGGATTGAGGTTAAATTTGAAAAGGGCACAGTGGAGGAAAATATTTAACATATTTCATCACGTGGCATTGGTTGAGACCCATGTGACCGAGTAGAGAAATGAAGGGCTCCTTCCCCTTAGAGATGTGTGTGCCCTTCCTCATCCTAAATAAAGGTAACATTTTAGGAGACTGGATCCTCTGGCCTATGTGATTTGTACAATTTCCTTAACTTCCCCTCTACCTTACAATTATAAGCAGCTGTAATGCCTTTTTTTTTTTTTTGTAAAAATAGAATTCTGTTTTAAATTTTGCAGCATCCCTGAGCCTATTAAAACTACCCTAGAGTACCCTAGAGTTGCTAGCCAAGCAACTTGGGCACCAGCTTTCAGATTTAAGTAAATCCCACATGCCAACTTCTGCTTCCCTCGACATTACTGGAGGCAGAAACGCTCACTTCAGCCTGATCCACACACAGTCTTTGTCAGGGAGGCTGGAGGACGTGGCCTCTCTTTTTTTAGAAAGGAGTGTCAGCACACAATACTATGTTAATTTGTCAGTTGATTAAAAACACACACAGAATTAGGCTGCACATCAGAATAGCCTTGGAAGAAACTGCAAATTCCTGTTTTCCTTTCAACCATTCACACTCTGCTTTCAAGACACACAGGTATGGTTTAGCTCTGCCACATGGCGGGGGACAGGCAGGTGACACCTTTCGGACCAAGCCAAAGCGCCCCAGCTAGGACAAGCACATTAGAACTCAAAGTCGTGCCTCTTGGCCCAGAATGTCTCTGTTTGAAATGAAGTCTCTCTGCCACAAAGACAGAGAGAGGCCACAGTCTCCTGGGACAGCTGAAAAATGCCAGAGGGACCACTGAGCTGAGAACCTCTGGGTTCACCAACATCAGACACATCAGGCAAGGAACCTTCTGGCTTAAATTCCCAAAATACTTCAGCTGCTTTCTCTACATGAAGTGTTCCCCAAAACACTCTCCCAGGGACACCTCATGGCTGAGACAGAACAGAAAGGACTCTGGACTGCTTGCCAGAAACCCTTGTTCCAGGTCCCCAACCTGCAGGTCAGATAATTGTGCAGCTTGGGTAAGTCACATCTCTGAGCCTCCGTTTCCACAACAAAACAGGGATAACAATGCTGCACAGATAGCAGACGTAGCATGTCCTAGGGTGGTGCCGGGGACACTGCAGTCAGTGACTGCGAAGCCAACTGGATACCTGGATACAAGAAAAGCACGTGACCTTCTAAGTCCAAAGGATCTTGGGCCAAAGCTGGGTCAGCCTCAGAACACACAGTGGGCACTGAGCCACATGCTCCCAGCAGATGGCACTGTGGGGCACCCTGGATGGCGTCTGCTGTTGTGCTGCTTATTACTAAGTAGGAAGCCAGACCCCTGGCACTCAGAGAAAGAGGACGGAGAGGGTAGCACGGGAAGGGCATCACAATACCCTGTCCAGCCCCTGCCTCCTGCTCCAGCTGGAACCACGGGCTGGGCTGGGTCTGGCGCCACTTGACCCAACTGGGGCTGCAAGATTCCCCGCCGTCCCCTCTCCCAGGAGCAGAATGCCAACGGAATTATCTGCAAGGGCTCTAAGGATTCATTCTCATCCTCACACCAATTGCTAAAAGGAACTGGAGAGGGCCAAGGAAGGTTTCCAAGGCACCGTTCAAGGACAGAATCTCCGCCATTCAGAGAGAAGCAGACGTGCCGGCGGAGAAGGTGCCACCATCGCACGCACGTCCGTTAATTAAGCAGCATGCGAAGCCAGGCACTTACAGGGACGCCGGAGGATGGCCAAACTTCCTTGAGTCCGTCTACTTACCTGAGAGGACTCCCCAAACCAATGTGGCGACTTGACCATCACCACCATGGAGACAGGCTTCAAACCCAACTTATGGTTCTCACCCTTTGGGGAAAGGACACATCTAAAGATGAGAAATTAATCCAGAGGTTTCTTGCGTCGAGAGGACAGGGGTCTGCCTGAACCAACATCTTTCTTCGCATCCGGCCAGTGACGGTGGTCCAGGCACCACAGCCACTTCTGGGGCCAAGGGCACCCTTACCTGGTTGGGGGCCTCTGGCGGCATGGGGGACGGTGACTTGGACTGGAAGGCGTCCTGTGAAATGAATCCTGAGTCGTGGGAGGACACGCTGGACAGGCGGACGGGCGCCTGCTGGGCCAGGTTGGAGCTGCGGTAGCGGTAGTGTGAGCTGGGGGAGTGAGTGTGAGAGCCGCTGGAGCGCGAGTCGCTGCTGTTGACGCTGTTCAGGCTGCTGTGGGGGCGGAGGGAACGCGGGCGTGCAAGGTTAGGGGGCAGGGATAGGGGAAGGGGGGAAACAGAAGACAACGGAACAGGGGAGGGGGGAGAACACAATATAATCAGCTGGGTACCACGGAGCGCTGGGCCAAAGGTAAAACGTGTTTCCAAAACACCAAGTCATCAAGCTAGGAAACAAAAGGTTTTTATCATGTGAGCAAGCGGGGAGAAAAGTGGGGGTTGTCAAAAAGCAGGTCTGCCAAGACTCACTTCTCTGATGGTACGATGAGGTGTCCCTGGCACGGAGGCCCAGGATTCTGAAGGGTCAAGTGCTACCCAATTAACTCAGCTAGGTCATCTACCACCAAAGCTAGAGACCTAACATCTGTGGCAGGAAAAGAGACGGGGCTGATCTTATCTGCTCATCTGCTTGCAGAATCTCATGACCTCGGAGCGAAACCCACTAAGGCCTCAGCATCATCTGGTTAGTATATTCGAGGCTCTCCCTTAGATGCACCATCTGGGTCCAGGAAACCAAGGTCCACCCGGACAACCATCACTTTGGGAGTGCAGGTGCCACGGGGCCCCTCAAGGAGACTTCATCCTCGACGAGCCTGGTTCAAGACCGTCATAAAGAACACAGGCAAATCACCTCTGTGTGTTCATGTCAGCGTGTTTTACCTCTTCTTACCAGAGTCGATGCTTGAATGAATGGCTTTTCCCTGATCACAGAAATTTCTCTGTGAGAGTATCTGCGGGCCTGGTGTTAGCAGCACACGTGGCAAGAGGCAGGCGGCTTTCAACAACTACAGGCAGCCGAGGCTGAGCTGTTTGTTTCCGAGGTGAACAGTAAACAGGATGTTGAGAAGCGTCACACACCCTCTGGGTGTTCTGTCTGCGCTGCGTCTCCAGTTCTAACAAGTGTGCGCTCTGGTAACTCAGAGTGCAAAAACCAGAAAACCGAACACAGCCCCGCGGTCCAAACAAGCAGAACCGACAACGGGAAGCACTGGAAGGGCCGGAATAAACAACCCAGCCTGGGATTACCAAGGGTGTGGTTTCTGCTCCCGGCAAGAGAGTCTTGTCAGATTTCACAGACCCTGACAGCTAATGAGGTAGTCAGGACTGTGACTGCTCTACGCTAGAATTACTTGACAACGAATGTTCCGACAGATAGAGGGGAGTGTGCCAGAGGAAATCACTGCCGCTGGGGATAATTACCATAATTTTTGCTTCCCCCGACCCCACCCCCCCACCCCACCAATCAGCCAGAAGAGGGCATTTGGGGACTGGCAGTAAAGCCCACAGCAGCTGCACTCCAGCAAGCTGAAGGCCGATGCTGTCAGTGCCGCATGATTTTTGACTGAAGCTAAAACTAGAAGAAAGAAGAGAGAACTCGTGCAGCTTTGTTTTGTATTAGTGAGATAGTTAGTTCTCTTTGTTAGCAAAATGAAAACCCAACAGATTTGTCAAACACGCACACACACACACATACACACACACACACACGCACATACACAGCCCATAAGTGATGACAAGGAACCAACCAACATTTTCATGATGTAGCATCTTAAGTTTGAAATTACTGCTCTGTGTTTACTACCCAAGGTCAAATATGAAACCACACACACACACACACACACACACACGTGTGTTTGGGGACATAACCAGACACAGACCAGGCAGATCCACCCTGCTCTTTCCTCTCACTGCTAAATTCGCAAGAAGTGGAAATCTACTTGGCTTTGAAAAGTCAAAGAGAAAGGTCAGTAGGTTGCGTACATCAAGAAGGGTTAGTGATGCGTGATGAAGCTGCCATCCTTCAAAAAGAGAATACGCTTTGCAGTCAGCAGGCCAAGAATGGTCTTCTAACAGAAAACCGCTAGAGAACAATTTTGCAGATGGCAGACATTTCCGGAGGATTCTCGCTGCAGGTGAGTAGGAGCAGGGCCCAGCTTTACTTACCTGCAGACACTAGACTTGCGGGACATGGTGGTGCTGGGAGAAGAGGGTGGCGTCTGGTACGACCAACTATAATCAGAACCTTTCAAGTCCAGAATCACCTAAGGGGACAGAGCCAAGTGGGTAGGTGAGGTGCTGAGAAGGGAAACATCATCCATCAAATCTTTAACCTGTATCATCAAAATGCTGTCATCATCGAGGGGTGGGGGTTAACGTACAAAATGTTGTTAACGTCCTTTCTTCAGTTAAAGAACAACAGTACCAATCCATCAATGTCATAATCCTTTTTCTGAGACAAGCAAAAATATAAAAAATTGGAAGGGGGGAGGGGACCATGAAATGTCAGTCTAGAGGGAGAGGGAGAGATTTACAGCTACAGATTAACGATTTACAGGAGTCAGGTATACTCAAGGCCAGAATTTATAGGATTCTTGTCTCATAGCACCACAAATTCAATGATGGTGTTAGGATTTGTCGGTCTTGCACGTTAGCCGCCTGATATTCAGTGGGTCACTTCTGGCCCTGAGATTTTAAAACCTGACAGAATCAAGAGCAAGCCAATTTGTTCGCAGTTACTTCTACATCTGGCTCTCCTGCTTGACAAATAGCTATTTGAATGTGAGGTCTACCTTTCTTTCACGTAGTAGATTCTCAATAAATGTCTATTCACGGAGCAAACGCGTGCCTGCTGTGATTTGACAAAAGCAATTTCATAGAATGGAAAACGTAAACTCTTGTATTTGTCCTCTGAGTTGGTTCTCCAGGGAGGCAATGAGAATTTTATACAAAGGGCAAAAGCCAGCATGTGATTCATCAGCTGTCCCCCCAAACACGGTCCTTCCCACTTGATATGTTAATGTCATATGAACCAAATGAATAAGCACGAAAGATGTCATCTTTTCTGTAAAAGAGATCCTGTTTTAATCCATCAGAATGGGAGAAATTCAGTGAGAATGGTTCACAAGGATGACCAAAACACATCACTATCATGTTCCTGTGAGAGTTTATTTCTAGAGGACAGGTGAACACAGTGGTTAAGGCCATGCATGGGCTCTCGACTGCTGGGTTCAAATCCCACTTCCACCACTAATTAGCTAGATGAACCTGGTTAAAGGACTTTATCTCTCAGTGCCTCAGTGTCCTGCTCTGTAAAATGGGAATAATACTGAAGATTAGCTGAGGAAGTCTATGTAAAGCGCTGAGAACATACATGGCACACAGCAAGTGCTCTATAATGGCTAGCAACGATGGTTACTGTATTTCACCATATAGTGAAACACAGATAGGACTTTAAATGAGATGCCTCCGGGAACTCTCGAGACCTTGAACCTTTATGTCTTTGGTTTGCTCTCCCGAGTGCCCACAGCTCCTACCTGTTCACTTGAGGAGGGCAATTTGTGAGGGTCCATGGTCAGGCTTTTCAGATCTTCTGAGATGGTCTGAAGGTGAGTTATTTCCCCTAGCATGGAGATTTCTTCTTCCTGAAGGAAAGTAATCCACATGTCATCATGAGTGATTCATTCATGGTCTTGGCTCAACTGTTTTTATTAGGGTTACTGTCTAACCCTTTCCACTTTCCAGAAAAGTCACCTCGAGACTGGTACATCTTGGCTAAAGCCCTTTCTTTTGGGAAACAGAAAGGGAAAAAGGAATCTGCCATAATTATGGAGTGACCTGTCCCGCCCAGTGGTGAGCAAGTCAAAGAAAACACGTGGCCTTCCTCATGGTGCCTGGTGGGGGGGGGGGGGGGGGGGGGAGAGCTGCCACATCTTCCCGGACGGTCCGCCTGCATCTTCTCATGGAGTCCTGCAGCATAGCCCCTCCATAGGCCGAGGCCCTCTGAGCTCACTCAGCTTCGACGGTTGACACGATTTGGAACAATTTTGGTCCAGATCTGATAACAGCTCTTGGTGACAGCACGTGTGTGTGTAATAGTTAACTATCCCCTCCCCCTTCTTATTTTTTCCCCACCTGCTTGATAGAAAGTCACAGCAAGTGAGATAGTGGCAGGAGACTGTGGAAGAAAGTCATTCACTTCACCCAAGTACCAAGCTGGGACTGCAGGCCTCGGCAAGAATGAGCCATGGAAAAGTTCTGTGCTCAGAGGAACGACTCCTCCTTGAGCATTTTGCTAGGGCTGAGGGAAGTGAGCTGGGGTCGTTGTGTCAGCTTCAAGAATGCCTACAGCAAAAGTCCTCAATTATGGCATGCAAATGATTTACTTAAAAAAATAAGTCTTGGGGCGCCTGGGTGGCTCAGTCGGTTAAGCGTCCGACTTCGGCTCAGGTCATGATCTCGTGGTCCGTGAGTTCGAGCCCCGCATCGGGCTCTGTGCTGACAGCTCAGAGCCTGGAGCCTGTTTCGGATTCTGTGTCTCCCTCTCTCTCTGACCCTCTCCCGTTCATGCTCTGTCTCTGTCTCATAAATAAATAAATGTTAAAAAAAAAAAAAAAGTCTTGCAAGGGGCACCTGGGTGGCTCAGTAGGTTAAGTGTCTGGCTTTGGCTCAGGTCATGATCTCACGGTTTGTGGGTTTAAGCCCCACATAGGGCTCTGCGCTGGTGGTTTGGAGTCTACTTGGGATTCTCTCACTCCTTCTCTCTGCCCCTTCCTCTCTGTCTCTGTGTCTCTCTCAAAATAAATAAACTTAAAAAAAAAAATCTAGGACGTCTGGGTGGCTCAGGTGGTTAAGCGTCTGACTCTTTGATTTCAGCCCAGGTCATGATTCCAGGATCATGATCATGGGATCGAACCCTGCATTGGGCTCTGTGGTGTGGGCATGGAGCCTGCTTGAGATTCTCTCTTCCTACCTTCCCCACCCCTCGCCAACTCATGTGCTCTCTCTCTCTCAAAAACAAAAACAAAAAAAGATTCTCTATCTGCCCCTTTCCCTGCTCATGTGTTCGCTCTTTCTCTCAAAAATAAATAAATAAATAAGTATGAATTGATTTGTTGAGGCTCTTCCCATATTAACCTCATGGTCACTCACTGGTGTTGAACCTAGCCACTGGGTCTCAAAATCACCTGAAAGGCTTGTTTAAAACACAGATGACTGGGGATCACTTAAGTGTCCAACTCTTGATTTCAGCTCATGTCATGGTCTCAAGGTTCAGGAGTTCAAGCCCCACATCGGGTTCTGCACTGGGCGTGGGGCCTGTTTGGGATTCTCTCTCTCCCTCTCTCTGTCCCTCCCCTGCTTGCTTTCTCATTCTCTCTCAAAATAAATAAATAAACTAAAAATAATTTAAAAAAAACCACACAGATGCCTGGGTCCCCACCCCTAGAGGCTTGGATTTGGTAGGATTTGGATTCAGGAAGGTCTGGGTTGGGCTCGAGAAGCCGCATTTGTAACCAATTCCCAGGTGACACTGCTGGCCAGGCGATCGCACTTTAAGAACCACTCTGCAAGGCCTTCTAGACTTGGGGGGGAAAAGAGTAAGTCAACAACTCGGGCTAAGAACTGCGCACCAGGAGTGGGCCATATGGCCATCGGCAACTCATGGAGAATCACTGCTCTACAGAAGTGATTCCACCATCACGATCCCTGATACACAGCCGATTCCTGACGACTCAGTGATGGTTGGATAAACAAAGGAAAGTCTCCTCCACACCAGCAATGTAAGCCTTCCAGAGCTTTCCACTGACTTACAATCACGGGCCGCAGCATAGAGATGAAGGTACAGAATCGGCCGCGTTCTTCAATCAGTGCTTTCCGGACTGCCTGCTTTTCGGTCTCTTCCAACAAGAGATACTTGTCGTTGACATCTTGGAGAGCGCTGTCCAACTGAGGCTGGATGTCACCTCTCCCTGTAAACAAAACAAAGCCCCAAGCGTGGCTTGCTGAAACACCAGCTTCTGGAACAAATGCCCTTCCTCCCTTGAGTCCTTGCTGGAGTGGAAACCGCAAGTTGCCAGGACTTAAAACAATGACTCAGTTATACTCAGGACTGAAGGTAGCTGTTTGTCTAGTACCGGCCATTTCCAGTTTCCGGTGCCCAAAGGGCACGTTTATCCTCGTGACAAGGAAGATTTCCTGGGGTGACTCCTCCTGACTTGCCTTCTTGCCTTACGTAACCCCCTATGGAGACTTCTGCCAACAAAACCCCAGGATGTGGCAGCCAGACAGTATTCTTTCTTTGTAGAACATTCTGAAGAGGCCAAGGGATGAACAAGGTGAGGGCCTGTGGATGTTGCCCAAAATGGGCAAAAAGTGGCTTTGCTGGGTCAACCTCAATCAAAGAGCCTCTGTTTGGACAGAAGTTTCTGTCTCTGAAGACAAAGATGGCAAATATCAACTGTCCTGGCCATGGCGTGGGGGTGGGGGGCGCCTGAAAATCCCTGGCAGTCAGCTTAACTCCCTGGTGGAGTCCTGAATGTTCTTATAAAACAAGCCCAGTAACAAACTGACCTACAGTCAGGTCTCTGCTGGTGCAAGTCTAAAGGGAGGGTCAGTGCTGAGCCTGACCCACGTGCGGTAATCGTCTGGCCACATCCAGACCCCAGTTACGATGCCACAACCCCTTCTAGAGTTTAAGACAGAGCGTTAACCTTTCAAACTAAAACTTTATAAAATAGTTAGCACACCATGTCCATAAATAAAGTTTAATTAGAACACAGAGATGCCCACTTGTTCATATACTGTCTCTACTTGTTCTTGCTATAACTGAAGAATGGAATTGTTGTACCACATACTGTATGGCCCCTGGGCCAAGAATATTTACAACTGGATTCTTTAGGGAAAAGGATCGCTGTGCTAGAAGAGAAACACTGGCACCACGACAGAAGGAGAGGCTACTGCAAATCTGATTTGCAGATGAGGATAAGGGGGTGACCAGCTGAGAGCCCAGCTCACGGGCTTCCATACTGGTCTCCCTATGCAGGGGCTTCACCTATCACTTGAACCAGGGAATGTTTTCTAAACTCCTTCAGAGCAGGGACTTGGAACTCTCCCAGCCCAGCCCCTGGTACAATGTCATGTGTGTATACAGCAAGTGCTCAATAAATGTCTGATCATTTTCAACACAGAAGGCTAGACATGGAAGGGGCCTTTGGGGCTATCCAACCTGTTTCCACACTTCGGCAGAAGCTGAGAGAGACTTGTCCAGCGCTGTTCAGGGAAAGGTGGGGATCCAGGGCAGAGCCCACACAGCCTGACCCCTCTAGGGTTGGACTCGTTCTCCTCTGTCCCACTGCTTCGAGCCAAATGAAGGAATCAGCAAGGGGCCTGAGCAGTCACCATTTAGCCCTCTCTAAAATGATGTGTCCCACTCTTGATCTCACAGTCCGTGAATTTAAGCCCCAAGTGGGGCTCTGAGCTGACAGTGCAGAACCTGCTTAGAATTTCTCTCTCCTTCTCACTCTGTCCCTCTCTCACTCAGGCATGCACACACGCTCTCTCTCTCGAAATAAATAAATCAATTTAAAAAAATTTTAAATGATGTAAAGAACATTAAATGCAATGTGTTATTTGGTTTGAAAAAGGAAAGGGTCAGGGGAAATTGCCTTGAAAGTAGGAACATGTTCCATATTTTCTCTCATAAGCAGATGAGAAAGCTTAATATGGAGCAAGAGGTTGACCCAGGCTTCAAGAACATCCCACCAGAAAAGGTCTTTGGATTTAATGAGGGAAACATCACTTCCTGGGCAGGGACTGAGCTGTAAGTTGGCACACAAAAAGAAAGTCCTGCCCAGTCAAAGGTCACCCCTGAAAACGCCTTGGATGGCTGGCGAAGTACATGCTGCATGCAGGACTCTCGCGAGTCAAGCCAGTACAAGTTCCGGACGGCTACAGCAGGCAGCACTGAGTTCCGTGCAGGGATTTTATCCAGTGATTCCATGATGGGAGAGTTTGCATCTGTCCAAGGTGACCCTTCACCCATTCCTCCATTTAGTCAATGTCTACCCTCAGGATAATTATAGCATCTCCTGCAGGTTTCCCAGCTGCCTCCCCAAGGATGCAGGGCGCCACCGCCCCCCACCCCCCCTACGTGAACCTGGCCTCAGACCATGGGTTTCTCGAGTCTGCAGTGGATGGGAAATCTGTGAGAGCCAGGGACCGTCTAGGGAGGGGACAAGTGCACCCCACTGAGGACACCCACCGTCTGCAACTCAAGCTCTAGGAGGGAAGTCTGGGGCATCAGCAGCCCTATGAGAACCGGGGGCTTTCTATTAAATTGCTGGTTTGGGGCGCCTAGGTGGCTCAGTTGGTTAGGCATCCAACTCTTGATTTCAGCTCAGGCTCATGATCTCACAGTTTATGAGATCGAGTCCTGTGTCGGGCTCTGTGCCAACAGCACAGAGGCTGTTTGGGATTCTCTCTCTCTGTCCCTCTGCCCCTCCTCTGCTGGCGTGTGCACACATACTTTCACTCTCTCTCTCTCAAAATAAACAAATAAATAAGCATTTAAAAATTATTGGTTTGTGCAACTGAATCCACATACACCTAAGGTACACCTGACAAGCCTCTGGTAGAGAAGCTCCAGGAGGCTGAAAACACTCTCTTTTGTTCTGCAACCTGCAAAACTGCCTGGTCCGTCCCCAGCCCTGCCGGGGGAGGCAGAGTGATTTCAGGCTGGTCTAGGGCCTCCTCACGTCTCTCCGTCTCCTCTATGATGTTCTAACAGAGCATCATCAGAATGTTCTCAATTCCTGGGGAGGGTGGAGGGGCGTCAGGAAGATAGATTAAAACCCACAACGCTTGACCAAACCCACTTGGATGTGCTTCGATTATGGCAGCAATGTCTTTTCCTATCAGCCTCTAATTATAAGAAATTAGGAGGGGCGCCTGCCTGGGTGGCGCAGTCGGTTAAGCGTCCGACTTCAGCCAGGTCACGATCTCGCGGTCCGGGAGTTCGAGCCCCGCGTCGGGCTCTGGGCTGATGGCTCGGAGCCTGGAGCCTGTTTCCAATTCTGTGTCTCCCTCTCTCTCTGCCCCTCCCCCGTTCATGCTCTGTCTCTCTCTGTCCCAAAAATAAATAAACGTTGAAAAAAAAAATTTTAAAAGAAATTAGGAGAACGTGTATCTTCCCTTCCTTTCACAAAGTATAAGGCACGTTTCTATCTGTAATTAATCACACTGACTTTAGAAAACATACCCACATAGGAATGAAAAGTGACGGGAACCAAGTGTCATCTAATCTGGTAAATATAAATTTAAATTATTCTATAATTATAGCAAAGTTATCTTAAATATGTATTATATTGTAATTAAAGGACTTGCAAATTGTAGTATTCTAAAATAAGTATAATCTGTAAAGACTGCTATAATTATAGGCACGGTGAGTACATTTCCATTCAGGATATATCATAACCTAAAAACACAATGTTTATTTCTTAAATTCACCAATATAACATATAATTACATTTATAAAGAAAAAAAACTGCAGGAGAAATTATTCCATGTCCCAGTTGGATGCACTAGCTTTAAGATTCAATCCAGAGTTGCAGGAGTACTGATTCAGTGCACAAGAGTTCATCCATTTGGCTCCCCCAGCACAGCTGGCCGCTCGAGTTCCCACTGGACTTGACCCCAGCCTTTCGTTCCACCTCTGCAATGGCCACCCTCACTGGGTCACCTCGATCTCTCGTCTGGAGAGCTGCAATGTCCCCCAATTTGTCACCTAACATGCTGGCCCAGAGCAGTGCCAGACTCTTGCAAAAGGCCAAGTACCACTTCTCAACACTGCCCAGCGCTTTCAGGAAAAGTCCAATGTCATCAACATCGCCTGCCCTGCAAGGCATGCATGGGTCAGCCCACCCACCGGCAGCCTCTGAGATTCTTCTCAGGCCACTCTCTCTCCTCCCTGCACCCCACAGACCCTTCTCCAGAGTCCAGGGTCTGGCTGCATCCAATCCTCATACACGCTTCTCCTCCCCCTCCACAGCCACCTAGGGCCTGTTCATCTGGCAACTCTCTGTCCTTCAGGAAATCCCTTCTGGAACTCTCCCGTTAGATTGGGGTTTCCTTCCTTGATCTCAGAATGCCCTCCACGGATCCCACAGGACATTCCTCCCAGTACAAATTCCATCTTTATTTCTTGAGTTCTTTGACTGGGGTCAGTCTGCCCTACTGATCGGGAACCCCACGAACGTTTCTGCTCCGCGCTGTACCTTCTTACCGAGCACACAGGCTCTCAACACATGCGAATGAACTAGGCACTGGTAGGGTAACTTGGCCCGAGTTTGCTGAACGGGCTTGACCATCCTGCCCTTAAATGGCCTAACATTATGAAACACAAATCCCGGGACCCAGGACTGCCAGGCAGCCACAAGAAAGGAGAGGAGTGCCTTCAGGGGACTTTCCAGACAAAATTCCCGAGTGAAGAGTTGCTTGTGACCTTTTCTCTAAACCTAAGTCACCTCAGTCTTGAGAACTGTCTTCCCACTGCCAGTTTCCAGGTCTTGGTTGTATTCACGCCGCAGAATTCCAACGAACACCACCCAGGAGGCTTTTACTCCCCCAGAATTCAGAAGATTATTTTCTTTACAGAAAATGCTGCGGGGACAAAGCACCATTAATGGGCACAGTGTCACGGGCCAAAGCAGCATCCCTAAAAGAAAAAGGATTTCATTTTTCATTTTAATTAAGTAGGGAGAGATTACAAAGTGGTCTGGAATGATATGAAGATGCCATATCTTGCAAACATTTATATTCTGTTTTCCTTAATCTTTATGTAAATGTTTAAGGCAGGAATTAATGCCCCCTATTGAGAGAAGGGAAAACCGAGACTAAGGGAGGCTACGTGGCTTGCATGGAGCCACTGAGCCAGGAATAGGCCCGGCCACCCTCCACCCGGAGGTCTTTCCTG